ACCTAGCAGGAAACAGAATCTGGTTAAAGTTTCGGGATCCTCCATTTCTCCAGGGGGTGGGTAGGTGGGAGCAACGGTGCAAAGTTTGAAACATAGCCTCTGAGCATGGGCAAATGGTTTCCCGCCCGCCTTCTCCATTGTACTCAGCTTTTCTCAGCTGGGTGGCCTCCAGATAAGTTGGACTACAGCTCCCATCTTCCCCACACGCTGCGGCAGCCAGGAGGGATAACTGACTGGACTCGGAGGGTGAAGAGCGAAGCCCTTTTCCACGTTTGCTGGTGCCAGCTTTGCCACCGAAGCAGCTGCCCAAATGCAGGATTTGGCATAATCAGCCAGGGGGTTGCCAGACAGGGGCTAGCAACCCTGCGCCGCCCCTGCTCTGCTCTAACAAGAGGCTGAACTGCAGAAGGTGGGGAAGACCCACCTAACTGGAAATAATTGTAAATGCACTACTAAAAAGCCACTGAAGTCCTTGCAAAGTTCAACCTACGAACATTGGAGAGGTTGAGGTTTTCCTTTTTAAGGAAAGGCACCTTCTGACCTTTGCCTTTGATCCAGAAATTCAACCGGTGCAGCTTTCTGCAGCACAGAAATCCAGGACTGAGAATGGGAAGGAAAGCGTTCCAGTGCATCTCCGGCTTGCACACTGGGCTTAAAAACGGTGTCAGGAGGGGAAATAAAGTGCAATCCTACTTAGGACTGTTACACTAATTGTAATAAAACGCTATCCCCGTTTATCCCTGCCTGTGCCCCTCTATTACCTCTGGCAGGGCGAAAGATCTGCTGGGCTTTGAGAATGGGTCACGTTCTTTTCCAGCGTTTTCCTGCCCCCGCCGGGACCTAGCCGGCTTCTCTGCTCAACAGAAGCTGCTATTGTGTTTTACTGGAAAGGTGTAACCCCCAAAGACGCCAGGCACACGATGTGCGGGAAGGCACGGGAGCCGGGAGGGGCTGACTCTTTCCAGCTTTGCTTTCAGGACGGCTTTGTGGGCAGGTGCCCCCTGCTCCCTTCAGGCCCCTTGTCGTCGTGCTCTTTCAAATCACAGCAAATCCAACAGCCTGCTTCCCTATCTCCAGAGTTTCTAACCTCAGCCACTTTAAGATGGGTGGGCTGCAACTCCCAGAATCCCCCAGCTGGGAATTCTGGGAGTTGAAGTCCACTTTTAAAGGGGCCACGGTTGGGAAACCGCATGTTAAGAGAAAACAGAACATGGGAGATGCTGGCTCAGGAATTCTGGGAGTTGAAGTCCACAACTCATAAAAGAGCCAAGGTTCCCCACCCCTGTACCTGGGAAGTTGAGCCAGAAGGGCTGGGAGGGGGGAGGGAGACCCTCCTTTCTATCTATTATTAGTGCCGAAGGGAACTGAGGAACAAGGCTTCTGTCTCTTTTTTATCAAAAAAGTTGCAAGTGGTACCTGACCCAGAGCTATTATGACTTGAAAACAGAGCCGGAAAGTGTGATTAAAAGATTCACTTGCCCCCAAAGATTTGGGGCAAAAACTCTGGAAACGCAAAGCGGAGAGGAAAAATAAATAAATAAAGTACAGGGAGTCCTCGACTTACATGGCCACAACTGAGCCCCAAATTTCCGTTGCTAAGCGACACAATGGTTAAGTGAGTTTTTGACCCCTTTTATGACCTTCCTTGCCACAGTTCAGTCAACCGGTGTGGCTGTTGAGTAACGAGGTTGTTAAGTGAATCTGGCTTCCGCATGGACTTTGCTTGTCAGAAGGTCGCAAAAGGGGAATGACGTGACCCCTGGGATGCTGCGACCGTCATAAATACGAGTCGGGGTGCCAACGATTTGAATCTTGATCCCGTGATCCTGGGGATGCCACAAAGGTCGCAGCTGTGAAAACGGTCATAAGTGGCTTTTTTCAGTGCCGGTCAGTAAGTGAGCTGTTGTAAGTCGGGGGACTACCTGTACAGAATCCTTCCAAGGGCAACATTCCTCCCGGTGTTTGTGCCCCACGGGGGCGAGAGAGATTCAGTCGCTATTGCTCTATAAGATTGCACTATTTTTTTTTTATTGGGTGGACTTTGACATGCAGAAACAATATATGTATAAATATGTACAGAGACACACAGACATCCAAAAGGAGAGTTTAAGTGACATCGGTTAATACAGCCTTATGCAACCCCCCCGCCCCCCCGGGTTGGGCTTTGCTCTCTCGGGTATATTGTCACTCGTAGAAGAAAGAGAGAAGCGAGGCAGTTTCAAATGGGTTTCAGTGTTGTTATTACCGCTAGCATCGTTTTTTACATAGTTAATCTTTACATTTTTCTTTAAACAATAAATTCCACTGGCCTGCCCATCGACTGTCCCCCTCAAACAAAACAAAACGCTGAATGTTGTTTGTCAATAAATATTATCCATTTTTAAACTCGGGACAACTAGAGAAGAAGTTGCAGCTTTAAATATACAGATGGCAAGGCTACGACACGGGGTTTGGGGGGAAAGGGGTCCCCGTAACAGTTAGCAGTTAGGGCGTCGTTGGGGGAGAAACGGAGACTGAAACAGAGGCAAACCAACGGGAAATCCAGGGAAGAGAGCCCAGATTTGGGAGGCTCACTACTTGGGGTTGGGCCTTGTTCAGGAGGAGGCCAGGACAAGGCCAGGCCCAGAGGGGCTGGACCTTCTCCAAGGGCTGCAGATTAACTTGAAAAGCCCTAAGGAGCCTCGGCCTCCTCCCAAACAAAGCTGGGTTGGCAGGGCAAGGAGCACAAGCCAGCTTCTTGCTGCCGAATTGGGTGGATGTCAATAAGGTGGTATCCTTCTTTCTTTCTTCTGTGCTCCTGCCCTGCGGAGAGTTTCCGAAGGCTGCCTGGGAGGGACGGCCCCTGGGCTTCACCTCCCTGAAACGCATTCCCAGAGCTATGGGGCTGGAGGCAGGGGAGCCCGTGGGGGCAAACTGCTCAGGCAGGTGTGCTCTTGGGGGCCGGGGGGGACCCCCCCCGGTGCTTCCAAGCCGTCTGCTTGCCTCCCTCCAGGGCAGCCATCTGTGGGCCTGCAGAGGTGGCCTCTTGCAATGGCATTGGGGGCAGTTTGGGGTCTCTGGGCCGCAATAAACAGTGCAGAGGGGCGACTGGAAGGCACAGTGGGTAGATCTGTGCAGCTAGCGATCGTTTGTAGACCGTGTGCTTCAAGCAGCAAAAGATGCTCAAGGGAGGTTAGCTCTGCTTCCTTCCTCTTTCGCTCCCATCACTCCTCTCTCCTCTGCCCGGTCTTTTAAAGCTGCCCCACATGGGGGCCATCCCAGAGAGGGGAAGGGAGGATCCAGCTGGAGCTCCACAGCTGCTTTTTCTGCGGGGCCCTGGTGAGCCCGAAGGGTTATCAAGATGACCAGGTAACGTCCCGAGTGATGAAAGGAGACTCCAGGTCCGTGCCAAGCGAAGGCTGGCATTGGGGAACTCTCGGGACAAAGGTCGCCCAACAGGCAAGGAAATGCAGGCTGGCAGGAGCCCTGCCAGATGGCAAACCATCAGGTCCTCTGCCCAGCAGCATGGAAGGGTCACTTCCTCTCCTGGGGAAAGGCAGAGCCCGCGCAGCCTACGGTGCCCAACCTGGATGGGTGAAGGGAGGCCAGGAGGCTCCTTGCTTTGAGCCGACGCGTTTTAATTCAGCTTAATCCCATTAGGAAGCTCTTCTCCTGCGCCGTTCGTTATTTTTGCACCCTCTTAAAAGTCTTCTCGATGGCATCTGCTCTGTGGGAAGGGGCCCTTTTGAAACATTTTCCCTTTTCTTAAAATCAAGGGGGGGGGAGGAAGGGGAAGGAGAAAGCTACAATCTCTCCCTGAAGTGGGATATGTGTTTTTCTAAAAAGAATCGGGTCTTTTTTCTGGCTAACATATGGCAGCATTCGACAAAAGGCTGCAGAAGGACTTAGTGGGAAAGACGGGACAAGCTAGCCAGATGGGCAGGGTGGGGGGAGAGGTAACGGAGAAGGCCCCCCCCTCTGGTAGGCAGTGCTGAAATGCTGGAGTCAGAGGAAGGCAGAAGCCCCCACTCCTTCCAGCAGGGCTGCCCCACACCCCTTTCCACCCTTTCGTTAATGTTTGGGAGAGAATCCCGCCGCAGGTAACGTAGTGCCATTTAGTGCTTTAAAATGCAAATAAGGTTTTAAAACACACACACACACACGCGCACACACACACACATGGAGTGGTTCATACCTCCAGACGTAACTGCCGCTCAGGGCTAACATTTCCAGTGCAAAGTGCAATCTCTTCCCTTTCTGTGGCTGACTTTCCCTTATCAATAGGAGGAGAGGGGCAGACTGGCCGGTCCCCCACGGGTGGGGCTGAGCCCACCCAGAGAGGGGGGGGGATCAAGGGGAGAAAAGGCGGTCGCTCTGGGGGCCTGCAGAGAGGGGCTCCTTCGTCACCCACGGAACCCGCCCAGGGGTTTTGGCTAAAGGATGCTGCCTTCGCACAAACACACGAGCCTCTTTCCGACTAGCTTCTCTGGCGACCCTCCAGGCAGAGCTAAGAGGAGGAGGAGGAGGCCGAGGGGATGATGCTGAAGGTCCGGTTTGATTTGTGCGGGAGGCCGAGCAGAAGAGGCCACAGGCCGGGCTCTGGAGTAGTTCTAACTAGAGCCAAGCCAGGGTTGGATGCATGACTATTGTGCATAAGCAAGGGGAGGGGGGGGAGGACTGGAAAGCCAGTGGGAATGGAGCCTGTGCAAGTCGTCATGCAGGTCTCTCACTTTTTTTTTTTTAAAAAAAAGGGGGGGAATCTCAGCCTCATCAACGGGGCAGAGGCGTGAGAGGGAGTTAAGTGGGACAACCCCCCCCAAATCTGAGTGGCAGAAGGGCTGTCAAGAGCCTCCCAAGGTGAAGGAAATGAGGCCGAGTCCCAGAGGAGGGAAAAGAGCCCACCTGATCTGGGGCCACCGGGGATGGGAAGGGGCCCCTCGCTAGCCAGAACGCTCTTGGCATGGGCTGCCGCCGCCTCCTTCTGTGCAGGGAGAGTGGGGAGGGGAGGGGGAGAAGGACCGTTACAGAGCAAAGAGGGCGTCCTCAGACCGGTCCGGCTTCCTTTTGCTGGGGGGGTTCGCGGGGGGCGCTCTGGGCTCCTCCTGAGGAGGGGAGGGCAGGTTGGGGATCCTCTCAGCCGCTTTGGCACGCTCCTCCAGGAACCGGTCGAATTCTGCAAGGTTTAAAAAAAAAAAAAAAGGCTCAGGGGGGAACAGTCCCAGTGCTATTTGGCCATCCATCCCTCCCATCCCCTGCCCAAGTCCAGCCGAGGGTGGCCTGAGACCACGAGGAGGAAGAGGGCCTGGTCGGGGGTGACCAAGGCAGGGCTTGGGCTCTGAAGCAGGATTGTCCAGAAGAGAAATGGCCGACTGGCTGCAAGGTTTAACAGGATAACAGCGTTGGAAGGGACCTTGGAGGTCTTCTAGTCCAACCCCATGTTCAAGCAGGAGACCCCGTGCCGTTTCAAACACACGGTTGTCCAATCTGTCTTCCTGGCCGGTGTGCATGTCGCACGTATCCACTTTGCAGAGTTAACGAGGGAGGAGCTGACCGAGCAGGGTCTCTTCTACCCTGCTAGCCTTCATTAGCTCCCCTCTCTCGGGTGTTTGGGGGGGGTCCCTCCAGCCCCAGATGCTTTCTGTTGCCAGGGCAGCAGGGGAGGGCCTCCCCCATCGCCTGGCAGCTCCCCCTTTTCATTAACCGAGGTAGCCCCTCGATCCCTGGGCTGCTTACGCACCTTCGCTGGTCACGCCTTCTTCCAGCTCATCTCCTTTCTGGAATTGGAGGAAGACGGAAGGGGAGAGGGGGAAAGAAAAGAGAGAAAGCTCACCGTTGTTATATCCTTCCTCCTTTAAAAAGAAGTGCAGAGAGCGCAAGTATTTGCCAGCAGGCTGGCCCAACGCAGGGAGATCTCAAAGACTGAGCTCCGGCTTGACCCAACGCGGGATTTTAAAAAAAACAAAAAAAACAGGGAGAAAAATGTGGTCGCTGGACAGCAGTTCACATATTTCTGGGAATGAAAAACAGGGACTGACCCGCTCGGCTTTGTCCAATGGACAAAAGGGGCCTTCCAGATTCAGGGATCAGCTTCCCCCAAGCTGAGGCGATGCCCCACAGTTTGGGCCCCTGGGACGATGACCTCCCTGGAAGGAGAGGCGGCAGCCGAGCAACTTTAACCCAAATGCAAAGATGGGCTGACTGTTAATGGCCGTCACTCGTTGCCCTGAAAAGAAGCCGCAGCTTTCGTGGCCTGCTCCCATTAGAAGGTCCTTGTCCTACTTGGAGCCAGGGGGCACCGTGGACCTCTCTCTTCCCAAGGACCCGGCCTGGCATCCCCACATTCGGGACCAAACCATCGGCCTGGGAGGAGGGCTGTTTTCTTATGAAATCCAAAGCCTTGAAGGATCAGCGTGCGCGGACAGACGTGTGGGGTCTCCCAGGCAGGAGTGGGGGTCCTATCCGGCCAGCAGGGTCCTTGGGGGAGGGGGCATGGTATTTCCCCATTCCAACACTCAGCCAAAAGCCCTCCAGGGAGTTCTCCCCCTCCTTGGGGTACTTTTCCGCTCTGCATCTTTTAACGTCTCTCTCACAGGCCTGTGTTTCTCCTCCACCTGGGCGACCCTAAGCGGTCTGGACTTCGGCTCCCAGAACTGAGGGACGCTGTTGCTGCTGCTCATCGGCCGTCTAAGTTCCTCAGGGTTTGCCCACCCACCCCCTCTCTCCTCCAGCGCCCAGCTGCTCCAGCTGCTCCCCGTATCGGATGGCTTCTGCCTGAGGCTCTGCCAGAAGCCCGACCCTCCCCGCCTTCCCTTCCCCCCCCCCGCATCCTTTCCCATGAACAGGCAGTCCTCGACTTACGGCCACAACTGAGCCCATTTCTGTTGCTAAGTGAAACGTTGGTTAAGTGATTTTTGCCCCATGTTACGACTGTTCTGGCCACTGTTCTTAAGTGAATCACTGCAATGGTTAAGTTAGTCTGGCTTCCCCCTTGACTTTGCTTATCAGAAGGCTGCAGAAGGGGAATCACGTGACCCTGCGACCGTCATAAATACGAGTCAGTTGCCAAGCGTACGAACTTGGATCAGGCGACCAAGGGGATGCTGCAACGGTCCCAAGTGTGAAAAACGGTCCCAAGTCACTTTTTTCAGTGCCGTTGTAACTTCGAACGGTCACTAAATGAACTGTGGTAAGTGGAGGACTGCCTGTGTTTTAGAAACGTGTGCCAGAGGTGAGCTGCTGCCCGGGCATCGCCTTGCCCTCCTCGGAGGCAAACGAAACAAGAAAAGAGGACCAGAGCAGAAGAACCGAAGAGTCTCTTACCACGTCGGTACTCAGCCACTCCTCAATGTCCTCCATGACAGAGGACTGTGGGACGGGAATCTAGGCAGGGCAGCGAGATGGGAAAACAAGGCCAAAAACACACCCAGAAATACGGGCCCAGAACGGGACAGAAGAAAAGAGGGAGAAAGGAAAGAGAGGGGGAAGAGGAACAAACAAAAAACAAAACACAAATATAGGCTGTGTAAGATGCATTGCTGTTGTAAAAACAAAACGAAAAAGTGCATTTCATCATCGCAGAGGGATTGCAACCGAACGGAAAAAAGCACACGCACAAATAAAGCAGTGTGAAACAAGGCAATGTGGCTAGCAAAACTCAACACAGGAAAGGTTATGATGAGTGAAACGGGGAGAGGCGGGAGGGGGGCATCCTATAAACCAGGAGCAGACGGGCTGCCCTCTGCTTCCTAACCGATACGGAAGATAGGAAAGCAGGCAGGGCGCCCAGAGACAAGGCGGATGGTGCCCTGCGTGGGGACGGGTGGGCGGCAAGGCTGGCGAAGGTGCCCACCCAAGTGTGCGGCTGGGTGAGAGACACAGACCCGCGGGAGGAGCCCGGTCCATAAGCATCAGTCTGGGACCTGCTAGCTGTACAACTCGGAATCTGAACTCCGAGATTCCTTTCCCCCTGTTCCTCTTTCAGGGGCACAAAGAAGTGGTTGCTGGCCAAATTCTGGCCCACACAAGCGTAAGGTGTTTCTATGTACACACATCCACCCACAGACACACGGCACATTCGTTCTGCCTGCTCTCCCGCCAACTACTTTCTCTCTGGACAGTTGATGGCGGCTAACATCAGGCTGCCAAGAGAAGGCCTCGGTCAATATTGCAGCCGATTTTAGTCTGAATTCCGCTTGTCAAGCCGGGGGCCTCTCGCCCAAATGGTGCGCAACCCCAAGATTCAAAATTCATTCCGTCATTTCTCTCCCTCGTCCTTCAGACTGCATCGTCCGTATAAGGTCTAAAAAAGCCTTGTTCATTCCCTGCTTGGTAAAGATGGTTTGGCTAAAAGCTGTGGGGCTGCTCCAGACACAGATTGCGTGTGCGTGTGCGAGGAGAGACCTGTTGTTATCTTTATCAAATCTCTGCTAGGCAGAGCTGGCTTCTGCTGCAATCGCACATAACGAGATTTCCCCGAGCCTGAACACTCATTAAAAAAAAACCCTAGCAAATTATACTCAGGCTTTAGACCCAAACCTGTATCTTGCCATTCCAGATATCGCAATTGCTTGCTTTTTATCTTACATTTGCTAAACATTCCCTCTTCGCTTGGGTCAGAAGCAACCACCATAATAACCATGGCTTGCCAAGTCACAGCTGGGGCCACTTTTTGTGCGCTGGTCAAGGATCAAAATGGAAAGGAAGCTCCTTCAAAGCCGCTCGGCTGCTCAGTCTAGACTACGAGGTGCCTGAACCGAAGGGGGCGAGCCATCCAAAAGGAGACATGTAGAAAAATATTCTGCAAAAGAGGATGAGCTTCAGGGTATCTCCGACCCAACTCGCTCCTTCAAATTTCCAGCCCTTGGCCAAGGACTCTTGGTGTGTCCTTGCACTTCCGCTCACTTGTCTGCTTGCACACTTGGGCAGGTCTACTTTATTATGTGTCTCATAAACACACACGGTTAACAGCTGCTGCTGCTGCTGCTGGTGGTGGAAACACGGTTAGGGATTAGTTGGACAGAGGAGGTCAAGTATGTCCGTGTTAAAAACAAACGGGGACCAGGAGCTTGCGAAGGACAGACCGGGGAATGCCAGCCTGTCCAATCCTGTACGGGTGTTATTAAGGGGTCCACAATGGGGGCAGTAACCTTTTTCCAAGCCAAAGAAACACAAGCTAACAATGAGGATGGGTTGCTCTCTGGTGCTGCCTGTTCAACCTGTGGCAAAACCCCGAACGTCCCCCCCCCTTTGCTAAAGACTTGTGTTTACCAGGGAGGGGAAAAAGGCGATACTGCAGGTATTAAAAAAAAGACGACGACAGGACAAGGAGCCAGTGGAGAGATCCATCCAAGGGTTGGAAAACAAGCCCACCCCCCTCGAGCACTCTTGGCCCCCCTCTCCGAGAAAAATACAGATAGTCCTTGACCACAACTGAGCCCAAAATTGCTGCTGTCCAGTGAGACCTTTGTTAAGGGAGTTTTGCCCCATTTTACAACCTTTCTTGCCTCAGCTGTTAAGCGAATCACCACTGCTGATGTTAGCCGCCTGGTTGCTACGTGAATTTGGCTTCCCCCTTATGACTTCGCTTGGGTCAGAAGGCCACAAAGGGGGATCCCGTGACCCTGGGACGCTGCGACCGTCATAAATGTGAGCCAGTTGACAACTGTCTGACCAGGGGGGGACGCTGCAAAGGTTGTAAGTGTGAAAAAGAAGTGTGTCGCTTCTTTCAGTGCTGTCATAACTTTGGACAGTCACTAAACGAACGGTTGTAAGTTGAGGAGTAGCTGTATTCAGCCCCGACCGTCCCACCCTTCCATCTCTCCCCGGATGAGGCTCCCCCCCTCCTTTTACGGCCACCACCCTGGTACTGTGTGAAGAGGTGGAGTGACGGGTAAACCGAGGGTGGTGAGGCCGGCAGAAAGGGACACCGGGAGGGGTGAGGACAACATGGAGGGAGGAGGGGATGTCACTGGACGGCAAAACGGTCCTCACCATTCCTTGGGAGATGAGCCACCTGTCTATGGGCTCCATGGGGCAACTCCCACCTTTACCTCTCCTCTGTGTGTTGAGAACAGAGAGCCTCATTACCATAGATGAAACAAGAACCGCGTTTCCCCCCCTCCCAAGGCAGACCCAGGACGTCCAGCGCAGGTGCCTGGAAAAGCTTTGGGCACCCTACTCTCCCACCTGGTTCTACCTGCGGGTGGCCCGACCCAGAATCGGCAGCATGAGGGTAGGAGAAGCACCCCTCCGTGCCCACTTCCTGAGACAAGAGGGCCTTGAAGCTGGCGGAAAGGGGCCAGGTCTTCGTCTGCAAGGGTCCCAACAAGCAATGCTTTGGGTACTGGCCAGCCAAGATGAGAGGCAGTTGCTAAGCTGGGCGGTTATGGAGTCGTGCCCGATTTTACCAACGTTTTAGCCATGGTTAAGAGAATCAAGGCTGAGAACTGAAAGGGCAGAGATTGCTACTGGGTGCAAGGGCTGCCGACACCCTCAAGTCAGCTGGAGAGCAAAATAAGGATGTCTTCACCTGCGGGCAAAGCCTTGGGGGGGGGGGAGAGAGACACACCTTCAAGTACTTTGACCCTGCTCCAGGAGGCCCTTTGAGCTGACAACACACTAAGCCGTTGGTCCCCAACCTGGTGCCCTCCAGACTTGTGCAATCCATTCTCCCCAGCCAAGCTCAAGAGGTCTGATGCAGGCATCAAATGGGAGCAAAGGTTCCCTACCGCACTTTCACTGATCTGGATTCAAATCCTGGCCATAAAGTGAATTGGGCAAATGCAAATCTCTCATTTTAACGGGGGGACAGAGGAAGAGAAAAGAGCCACTGACACTGCCTTGAACTGCTTGGGGGAAACACAAAGGTGGCCCATTTATTCTGATGAAATAAAATTAATTAGAGATAGACGGATGTTGGGGTCCTACAAAGGCCAGAATAAGGAAGGGGGTGATCAGCTGGAGAAAGTATAAAAGCCCGGGGAGGGGAGGGGAAAAAACCCTCATGTGGGAAATGAGGTTGACAAATCAGGTCTCTGTGCATTCAATCTGGACTGCAGGAAAAAAAGAAAAGCCCCCCCCCCCCGGTCCCAAAGTAAGCACCCCGTATTTCTCACAGTAAATCAGTGGCCCTTTTAAGCACAACAACATTCAGATGAAGCTGAGAGAAAAGGTGGGTCTTTGGCTTGTCCTCTGGAGTTTCCCACCAACCCACTGAATATACTTCAAATACTTCTAGACTGCTGAGCCCCACAAAGACCAAACAAGGAGACAACCCCAGCTCGCTCTGCTACTTCCAGTCGGCTGCCCCCAAAACAGACAACTGCACACAAGGGAACGCACTGGCCTTCAGCGTCCTCAGCCTGAGAATGGGACACACACAGACCCACACGTACACACACATAGAGCAGAACAGACTTACCCCTCCTGAATTTGGTTTCCGGGTATCCGGGGCAGGTGCCATCCCTTTAGCCATTGGTGGATCCTCCCTTGTCACGCTGGACAAAAGGAAAGAAAAGAATTGCTAAAATAACCAGAAACCAACAATAGCAAAAGAAAACATATGAAAGAGAGGCCAAATTTATTTGTAAAAAGAAAGAAAAACAATGAGTGCAGCCAGATGCAAGCACATTTAACTCTTCCGCCCTCAGGGGCAGATTTGATTATGGGAGCTGAATATACACACATAAAAAGTCCCTAAATCTGGGGATTTCACATCCCCCGAGAAGCCCACCAGGCCAATCCAATTAAGGCAGAGGGAGTTGATTAGATTAAAAATCCCCCCCCCCCCAAATCTGCCACAGGGTGGAGCCAATGAAACAAAGACGAGAAAGCATCATTGATGCTTAAATACCGAGGCGTCTCTGGGAGGTCTCTGGGGGCTGTAATTCATCCAGCAAACCTCCAGAAAGCCAGGAGGGCTCCATTTTTAATAGCCCTGGAAGCGGGGACAAAATTATCACCAAAACAATGGCTTGGCGAGGGCGAGGCATTCCTGAGGTCTCATGAAAAGGTCTCAGGCTGCATTTCTGATAGTCTTTGACTTCTCAGTACATCTGCATTGGCTCTGAGTAGCCTGGAAATAGTCTGAAATACAATCTGAGCCATCAAATTTCCCTCACAAAGCCCTCGGGATAAGATCTGCTCCAATTGTGTATCTAAAACAGGAAAAAAATGTGTTCGTTTTAGCAATGAAAGCCCCTGATCATTCACTGGCTCAGGATTTGAACCTGGGACCCAGAGGATGGCTATTGACTTGAGCAGCTCTTTTGGTCCTAGCAACCAGTTTTACCTAGTGGTTAAGGCGCCTGGTTAGAAAGCAGGTTGACTGTGAGTTCCAGTCCCACCTTAGGCACGAAAGCCAGCCCAACCAGTCCTCCTCTCTCAGCCCAACCCACTTCACAAGGTTGTTGTTGTGGGGAAAATAGGAGGAGGAAGGCGTGTTGGATCTGTTCGCCATCTTGAGCGTACTTTGTAAAAATAATAATAAAGATGGAATACAAATCAATCAATAAATGTCCAGAGAGGCAGCGGCGTCCGTGCCACGGCTACTTACGTTTTATGCTGATCTGCCAAGGAACCGCCTCCTCTCGTTTGTGCAAAGACGTCAAAGTCATCCCGGGGATTGCTGGGGGGGAGCGAGCTGAGGGCCCCACTCACGTTGTTTGTGCCCAAGTCTACAGAGAGACACAGAGGACACAAAGCAAAGGAAGAGGGGCCTGCTTTGCTTTGAACAAAAAAGCAGCACTCTGAACAAAAGCAGCCTTTTGATAAGTCTTGGTGCATGCAAACATTCCCTGTAGCCAAGCCTGAAGCCGGCCACATTTCCCCTCCTTCGTTCGTTGCACATGGACAAAAGGCCCAAGGCTCCCCTTGTCTGGTTTCCTCTCCCGGTAGGAGTCCAGCACCAGCTCCTGAAAGATGAGCTTAGACCGAAGAAAACTCATCCTTGGGGAGATGGGGGGGGGGGAGAGAGAGAGGGAGATCAGATTCAGGCGAAGGACAGATTGGGAAGGGAATGGCGCCACATCCAGTTCTCCTCGCCTCTTTGCAGTGCCAAAGACTCCGAGCCAGAGAAGGGACCGCAGAAATCAATTAAATGAGACACAGCTTGAATGTAATATGGGATGTAAATTTTGACTTGAAGAGCCCTACTGGGACAAACACAGATTTGTGCACAGCATGGTTGACGATTGCGCACAAGGTAATGAAAGGTTGTGTCTTATCGCAGAGACTTATTGTGCACAAATCTGTTATAAACGGGGGAAAGGGCCCCTCTGCATCTAAATGGGTTGGCTCCCAGGTGCTTCCTCCTACACAGCTGCCAGCATCCAACATGGGCAACGACCTAAGCATACTGGGAAACCTCTCAAGTTTCAAAGGACCCCACTAGGGACTAGCTTCTTGGGACTTCCTCCCAATTCTTCAAGAAACGGAAGAAAATAAAATACTCACCGAGCCCAGCAAGCTGAGTGGAAAGGGTGGAGGCGGGGGCAGTGTTTCCCACCATGGGGCTGACCACTGCTGGGGACCCAGGGCCCAGGTCTATCAAGTTGTCCTCGGACACCTCGTTGAGAACCTGCAGGGACATAGAGGGTAGCAGCAGGTCACACAAGAGGAACGGCGTCCCTGCCGGATCACAGGAGTCAGAGGCAGCACCAGGTGGCTCCAATGAAGCCCAGGAAGTTACAGCCAGGAGGGGCATGTTTATACGAGCACCCACCCCCTTAAACCTCTCTTCAGATGTTCTTTCTTTCCCTGGTTATGGCACCTCGGCTAAAAGGGGCAGAATTCTGCATCGCTGAGCCTTCTCTCCCAACACGCAAGGAGAAGAATTACGACCAACCACACGCAGAAAAAACCAAGCAGAACTTGGATTGAACCATTTGGGCCACCACCCTGATTTTCTGATTAGGACGATGGTGTTCCAAGAACTTCCAACCTAGGTATTTTCACGTTCTCCGGATCAGCTTGAAATGGCTGGAAGCAGTCTGATTCCTCCCAATCTGCAAGCAGACCTTCGAGTGTTGCTTTGCCAACAAAGACACAGCCAGTCATGCTTAATATTCAGAGTAAGTGTTAGCAATTCTTAAGGGAAGCGTACACTCTGGTGACAAGGACAGAGAGCAGCTGTTACACTGTTCGGAAAGACTTACCCCATTGCTTGCATTCTGTGCTGACCGACCCAGTCGGTACCGTTCAAACCTAGAGGAAGACAATAAAGGAATAAAAAGGAGGGCAGTGGGCAGTTCTGAACAATTTGGGTCTTCACCCAAAAGCAGGAATGGGGAGAAGAAATCACTGTGGCGCAAAAGGGGGAGAGTTGATTCCGGGAGACCACTACAAGACCCATATGCCATCCTTTCCCCATCTCCCTGATTGCCCATGGAAGTTAAACAGCCCACAAGAAGTGGTTGTCTGCAAAGAGGTGTTTGGGGCCCTATCCTGGAGATGAATTGTGCTTGGGGCAGTTCTTCCATGGAGGGATGGTTGGTTCTCTCTCTCCGAGGCCTTGCTGAAGCGCTTAACTGGACTTGATATCTGCTCCTAGGCAAACTAACATATCCCAATTGGGACCTGTTCTGCAGGGCAGGATCCACATCTGGAATGTAATATCCTGATGGCCACTAGGTACCTGCCACCAGGTCCTGTTTTTGGATGCCTGGCTAGCCTGCATTATTATCCACATTCTTTGAGCCAGATGCCTCTTCCAGGAGGTTCTTTCTGGACCTCTAGCGTCCAACTGTACACATAACACCTCAGCCAGCCAGGCACCGGTGCAGGCAGCTGGGAGTCAATTGTCGACAGCTGATCAGCAGAGAAAGAACTGAAATGGTTTAAAGCAGCTCTGACATTTACGATGCTTCTCTTCCCTGCCTCCTGGGAGGGAAGGGGAGGAGATGAACTGGGAAAGGGAGAAAAGGCTGCGATTTGGCAAAAAGGAAAGACTCCCGAAGGTCTCCTCTTCTGAGGGACACCCCACCCCCACCCCCCATGCTGTCACTAGAGAGGGAAGGCCTTGGGCTTGCCCTGCCCTGGGGCCGGAGGATCTGACTTCTCAAAGAAAAAAGGGATGCCACCTCTCATATCGGAGGAAGACGTTATTCAAGTCATCGTTGGCGTGAAGCAGGTCCTCGGTGACCTCTTCGTTGGACACCCTGGAGATCAGCTCCACAATCCGCTGCTGCATCGCTCGGCAAGTGCGGTTCAGCTCCTAGGAGAGCAGACAGGGAGACGACTGAGAGCAAGGAACAGTCTCCAGGGGTGGTACCACAAGCAGGAGCCAGAAGTTTCATGACCGGGAGGAGTTCCTGCTGCCTTTTGAGTGCATGTTTGCTTCCAGATGTCTCTAAGAGAGCCTGTGGCCCACATCTGGCCTCTTTCGTCGGCTATTTTGGCTCCCTCTGCAAAAGGGGCCCAGCCTATCCAGCCGATCCACCCCTGCCCACTGGACATCACATCCACAGCAAGAGAAGCCAGCTTCCCCCACCGGACGTCCCATGAGCAGTGGGTGACCTTTAAACAAAGCCAGCCCGAGTCTGGAGGCTTCCCTGCCCGGATGAAAAATCAGCGGAGGGGTGACAGCATCCAACCTTTGAGAAGAGTAAGAAGCTGCCTGGGCTTCCTCTGCCGAGATTGACATTCAGCGCGTGGCATAAACCCCCACTCAGGTTCTCCAGCTGCTGCAACAGCTTGAGGACCAGGTTTGCCAACGTCGGCTTTAATCTCGTCAGTTTAGAGCCAGACGGTGACATTTCAGACGTCTGGACTCAGGTAGTGGAGAAAACCGGCTTGCACTGCGTCAGGAAATTGTCTTGTGCTCCGGTGCTTAGCGGTTTCTTTTGTTTTGCCTATTTCTGAGAGGCAAGGGCCAGCCACACATTTATCTCGGTTTCTTAGCTCCAAGTAACTAAAGGGGGACCTACAGACAATGCCTCGTTCTCTGTCATCCCAGAAGGGCCGGGCAGAGAATAATGGACTTAAGTTCCAGGAAGACAGGTGAAATTTGCACCTGATGAGGTGAGCCCTACTTCACAAAGCCTTCTGCCGTTGGTCTTTTGGAAAAGGTGATGCCAGACTTCGCCTGACTTCTGGCTAACCACAAGAGGGGCTGGGAATGGAAGAGGGGGGGCAGGGGTGTCGTTCCAGAGATGAATAGAAGCAGAGGTGGGGAAATCATTTGTCCCGAATGCTGGAATCAGGATCCTTCCCCAAACATCAGATTCGTCTTCAAGAACCAAACGATCCCTTCCGACTCTGGGGCTCCTGAGGTAGCTCCAGACTAAATGGTTTGAATCCATCAAAATAAATACAGGGAGTCCTCGGCTTACGACCGCAATTGAGCCAAAAAATTCTCTTGCTGAGACATCTGTTCAGTGAATTTTGCCCCATTTTTTATCACAGTTGCTAAGTGAATCCGGTTTCTCCATTGACTTTGCTTGTCAGACGATCACAAAAGGGGATCACGTGACCCTGGGACACGCTGCAACCATCTTAAGTACCAGTCAGTTGCCAAGCGTCTGAATTTTGATCCCATGACCACGGGGGGGATGCTGCAATGGCTCTAAGTGTGAAAGACGGTCATAAGCCACTTTTCTCCCTACCGTTGCAACTTTGAATGGCCACTAAATGAACTGTTGCAAGTCGAGGACTACAACAGAAGAGCTAGGAAAATTTCCCTCTGACAGATTCACCTGCAGCAACTCCAGGTCTGAGGAATCCTCTTGCCCGGGGATCATTTCTGTGAGCATCTCCGACATCACCTTTGTGTTGCCACGAACAACGTCCAACTCGCTGCGTAACCGTGCAATCTGGAGGGAAGGGGGGGGGCAGGCAGGGAAGGAGGAAAGTGCTTTTGTTATCTAAAAGCCGACAGGCGTCTCTCATCCTGAAGGAGTGCGGGGGGGGGCACGGCTCCCCCACCCCCACCCCCGGGGGCCCCTTCCTCCCGAGCAGTACCTGTTCCGTGTTTGCTATGATGGGGTCAGCCCCATTCGGAGTGGGGGCCTGAGAAGTTGGGAAAGAGGTAGGGGAGGGCCTGGGGCTGATCTTCTGCTGAGACTGGGAGTTGTGCATGTTGGCAGCCGGGTCGATTTCAGGAACGCTCTAGCAAGGGAAACGGCAGTTGATGAGAGAGAGACCCATCCCACCTTCAAAGAAGCAGAGGGGAAGGTCTGTGCCTCTGTCTGTGTGTGTGTGTGTGTGTGTGTGTGTGATTCTGTTTACAACAGTCACCTAAGTGCTCTGAAGGCCCAAAGAGGGTGGAGTGCAATTGTGCAGCCTCCCATCCAAGCAGCTAGTGGTCTTATCACCCTGGGAGACGGGACGCTAGCATTGTCTGGGGTCAGAGCCTGCAATGTTGTTCTAAAAGGCAGTCAGTTTTTTCCAGCTCAATGAACGTCCCGGCTATTCTATGCTTCATAACTGTACAACTCATCCCCCTCTTTCCTGTGCAGTTCAGAGTCTAGAGCCCTTGGCTCGGGGCTTTTATTCCCAAGGCTTAGATACTTGCTCTCTGTGGGGTGTGTATTGGAGACAGGGCATCCAGATCAGCCACGGGAAACTCTATGCCTTTCCTCTTCAGCTCTTCGTAAATGTGCACGACTCCTGTGAGGTCAGGGCTGCTTCGAAAGGCATCGGCCCAAGCCTGAAAAAATAAAAATAAAAAGCAGGCAGGATCGTCAGGCTGCTTCTACACAGTCCATGTTGCTTCACTAAGGCAGCACGCCCCCCCCCCCCCAATCTTTTGGGCACCAGGGACCGGTTCCGTGGAGAGAGGTTTTTCTGCAGACCAGAGGGGGCCTGGTTTCGCGTGCTGCCTGCATCCCATAGATGGGGCTTCACTTGTGCTGACTGGTTGCTGGCATGCTGGGGACCCCTGCAAAGGGGTGTCTGAACTGATCGTTTTTTCTTGGATTCATTACAACTGAGAAATCATGAGACACACCTTCCCCAACAGCCCTAGGAGTGGGTCTTGCTAAAGACCCTCATGAAATTACCCCTCGAATTTATAGTGTGATGGAAAGAAAAGCTATGAAGCAGACTAGAAACAGTCATTCACCCTAACCTTGTAGTTTTTGGCCTGGAGACCTTTATGTGTGATTCAAGAGTCAAAGGTGGGATACAAACCCTCAAACATTGCGCAAGTGAATCAGCTTGTTGCCCAAAAATCTTGAGAAGAGCCATCAGGCCAAGGCAGCCGATGCTGGGTTTGATTCACCCTTTCAAATTAAGAAGCAGGCAGCTGCTTAATGTGCAACTGGAAATATACATATCAAGATTAAAAAGACTATCAACCTGCTAAAGCCTAGTCAGTAGAAGTTTCAAAACTAGCTGGCCTTAAAGCTGTAGGACTTGTGATGCTATACGCTCAGAGAGAAAGAGATACTTAAATTAAAACAGCATACCTGAATCAGAGCAAGGACTTTATCTTGAACAATCGTGGGAGGATTATTCTTGGGTGAAATTATTTTAACCAGGACGCCATCTATGAAATCTCGGTTTGCTACGAGGATATGGAAGCGGTGGCCGCAGTTCTTTACACACGTTTCCAGAACCTTGGTGTGAAAAACACATTTCAGGTGCAGAAGAGAGAGTCAACACTCAGCATCCTAAAAAGAGAGAGCTGCTAGGTCGGGTTCTAGGGCGACGGACTTGTTCCCCCAAGTCTCCAGATCTTTAGTTGTACTTACTGTTAGAGCGAGCATCACCTCTCTGTAGTTCTTGTTTCCATTCAGCCTCTTCTTGAGAGCTCTAACGGCATCCTTCGGGCTGAGGAGAGAAGGAGGAGAGGATGGGGAAAGCCCCAGGTGCCTCTGAAGCACAGAAGCACAACAACCCCGGTTTTAAGCTGTTTGTGCACACCTGTTTTGAACCTGGGTGCTTGGAGGCTCCAGTGTTGGCTCAATTACAGCAGAGCATCTCAAAGGAAAACAGAATCCCCCAAGGGAACAGACAAATAGTTTCAGCAATTTTTTAAAAAAACAAAACAAAACCCAAAGCTAGGCCAGGAGCTATGAAGATGCTGAAAAGAAGCCAGCAAAAAGATGTTGCTTTTGTGATGCTTTTGCCTAAAAGGAGACTGCAGGAGATTGATCAACAATACTGCAATGGCGTTTAAACACACAAAACCACTTTGGACTAAAGTATTCCAGCTGCTCGAAATATTGTTGAGCAGCTTCTTGAACAATATCTTATTTAATGAGCTTCTTCAGGCTTAGAATCAAATGCTGGGGACTGAAGACACACAGGAGTTTGGCTTACACAGCTTCAAGCCATTGGTCCCTCTCGCATCATCTTCGTTTGTTAGATCTGAGGCAAGTAAATACTGAACTGAGCATCCAAACCGCCGGCAGAGTCAACCTGACCAACAAGCAACTACTCTTCCCAGAAAAAAAGGCCTCCAAAATTGCAAAAGGCAATTTTGCCCTTAGCTAAGATGGTGCACGCACACCTACCCTTCTTCTGTCTCGTTGATGATGTCACATATCTCCATGTTCAGCGTCCAGTCTTCGCTCTGTAGGGAGCCATCAGTGGCCTTTTCTGTAAAACAACCAAATACGCTGCTCGTTTTCTGAGAAATTGACAGCCGGTTCATTAGGCCAAACTGGTAAGCCTCACCTACAGCTCCGTGCAGGGCAACACAAGATCCTTCTGGGCAAATGATCCACCACACACTTGTTTGGATTTACATAAAATATAGTGCCAACAGACGGTGTCACAGTTTGCAAAAACTGAGCAATCTGAAGGGTCTTTATTAAATGACCCATAAAAAGATTATGCCTTGGACAAAAGATCAGTTCTTTTAACATTTGCATTGAAATATTATTATGGTAATGTGCTAGTCATCTATTTATTCTTTTGTTACATGAAAAATTACTGTTTGGCAACAATTTTCAAAGTGTTTGTCTTTTGTAAAGAGGTCTCAGGCTGAATATTTCTGATCTAGCTGAAAGCTGACAAATTATAACTGGGTATAATATACATTTGTGTGTACGTGTGTATGCATGCGCGCACACACACACACAAATACCCTTAAGTATTTTATATTAGCAAGAGATAAAGCATACAATACTAAGTCAACCAATCTATTTCTTGTTATGTGTTCCTTTTGAAGATTTAATTTTCAATTCCTGAGGATTTCTTCTTACAATATAATCCATCTGAAATAGGCTTATGGCACTCTCAAAGCACTTTGCAATATGGATGCATTCTGGCATGTACGATGTTATTGGTCTGCAGAAATATTCCACCACCAAACCTCAAGTACCAATCACATCCTGGTCTGAGGCCACTCTAGCGTCTTTTCAAGTTATTCATAGCAGCTAATTTACAATGTGTACTGCAGAGGGCTCTAATTTTATCAGAGGGGATAAAAGGGGAGCTTTTGAGTTTTGTGGTCCGAAGTCGAAAAATAATCACCCCATCTTCTGTTTCAAGGAAATGGTCCTTTGCTATTTAGAGTGACTGCAGTGGAATATATCTTTTATCGTTGCTGGCTGTTAGAACCTGACACTGCTGGGTACTTTCGCCAACCTCATTTACTCCATCCTCTTAAGCCACGGATGCTACGAAGGGTCAGTTGCAGATCAGTAAGTTAAGGTCCAATTCTTGCAAGACAGATTGACTGAGCTAAACAATATGGTTTATTGAGTAACCCCTGAGTAAAAGGGTTGCTACATGATGTCAAGTCTGAAGCCATGGTTTATGAACCACAATAGCTAAACTCACATGGTATCTTCAGCTGAAACCCAAATACTGTAAATTCCATTGGGGCTTAGCTTGATGTGTGAACCAAGCCATTCTCTTGGTCAGCAGGCAATCTAATTGGAAACAGAATGAGAATTGGAAGAGAAGTGGTCTATTTTTTTATATGCAGGCCTATGCTTGCTTTACTGATTTATCATTTTTATTACTGTGGTGCTACAGAGTAACATGTGTGCCAAGCCATAGTTTGCTTCTATTAGCAATATGTTGCATCGAACTAGACCTACCTAAATTTAAAAAAAAAAATTGGAATCCTGCACAGAACTTAAACATTCTCATTCCCCCCCCCTTTTTTTAAAAAAAAATGTGGTTCTTTCACCCTTTGGATTTTTGTCTTCAGGAATATTTTTGCATTAGCATTTGGCTATTAAGCACCGGATATGCCAGAAGCTAGCATACAATTTTGCATGTTTGAAAACAAGAGTAGGGAGGAGTTAGAAGATCCCAAGGAAGATTCCATGCTTAGAGAAAAGGAACTAAAAAGCATATAATCAGCAATAGTCATGACCTGTTGACAGACATCATTTAATCACCTTTCTACTTGCAGGAAGGAGCTAAGAGGAAAGAGGGAGGAGAGGCAGAGATTCTTCCTGGATTCCTTGGAGAAAATGGACAATAATGAAACAATGCAGCGTCCCTCACTGGTTTTAAATTGGGAAGCCATTATTAACACAAGCCTGGGTTTGGTGTCCAACAGCTTTCACTGTTTGAATATTTCTCCTAATGTCCACCCCAGGGGTCTCCAAACTTGGCAACTTTAAGACTTGTGGACTTGGCTGCCTGAGTAATTCTGGGAGTTGAAGTCCACCAGTTTTAAAGTTGCCAAATTTGGAGCCCCCTGATGAGTAGCCACCAGTGAGAAGCCAACTGAATTTAAAGCCTGAAAGAATCCACAATTTGAGAAAACACAGAGAAGTTCTTCCTCCAGCCTGAATTATCTGACATCCTGTAGTCTGAGGTTCTGTGGGTACCTTCATTAGCTAACTCTCAGTCTCAGGGAACAATTATGATGGTCTTCTCAGAGTTTAACACATCTCTGGGAGCTTATTTGGCCAACTCTGTGCTTTCACAGAAATCTTGTCCAATATTTCATGGTCAAAAGATTCCGTGTCATCACAAATACGGCAAACACATAGAGGGAGTTGCATCAGGGATGATGCATATAAACATATTGCTCATTAACCTTCAGAAAGTGTTTATTCCTTTACTGCTTCAACCTGTTTCACAGCTGAGTTATTTACATTTTACAACAGAGAAAGATAAGCCTCTGATCTTCTCAAACCTTTCCTGTAGAATGTTTGCTCATAAATGTCCTAGTGTGCTGGAGATTAAATTTTCATGGGAATCAATGCCATTTACTAGCAGAGGAAGTACAATGCTGATGCATTTCTAGCCCTAGATATTTTCGGAGGCCACCAGCTTTAACTGCAGATGCCAAAGCTATCATCAATCCTATAGACTAATAGGACTAGTCCCCATCTTCCCTAATATCAAAAGAGCCACCAAAGAACGACAAACAGTGAGACACATATGAGCCAGGAAGAACCACAGAAACATTCAACAAGGAAAACTCAGTGAACTATGAACTACTTCAGCCAAGGTAATACAGCAGAGGGTTATTCTTTCGTACAAGACATGTTTGTTTTTCCATCCCCGTTCAAATTAAAGTGAAATCCCTCACAGGCTTCTCTTGTTTTTAAGGTCATTTGCCCTAAGCCACGAGAGGAAAACTTGTTATACTGTACACGACTTGCACGATCTCCGCTTGTTTTACTGTACACGATCTCCGCTTTTTCCTGGGAAGTCAACAACTGTGTCACATAATGTCAGTGTCATATATCCCAGAGTCTGCAAGATTACTAGGTCTTCAACATGAAAACTCCAAATTAGGGAGGAGGAGATGTGTGCAATTAAACTTTGGGCAATTCCTGACATGAGGCTTTGAAATACATATATATATATATATATAAGCAACTTTTTGTCGACTGAGATCAGATCCCACTCTGCAAGCCAAGTGGGATGTTTTGATCTTTGATAAACACTGTGTGCGTAGCAAACCTTTGGTTTTGTTGTTTTTTTTTAAAAAAAAATCAACAGTCAAAGAGGCGAATGCAATCTAAACCACTAAACATTTTCTTTAGAATAAAGATTTTCACACTATTATTTCCCATCTCTTGCCTAAGAGAGCAGAAATAATAGCGTGTAACTTCTTTACTCATGGTGCAGTTGGCCAATTTTAGGCTTAGGCACAGCTACAATTTTTCAAGCGCAGCTACTTCCATTGTGAAGTTCTACCTATATTGTGCCATCCGGGCTGGGTTCACTCAATGAACTAAACTATAGTTATGTTTCATAACTCCTTAAAAAATCATAATGCAACATCCTAAACCAAGAAGAACTAAATCCTCTGCCGGCTTAGTGAAGTATCTGAACTAGTCTCTATATGTTCTAATTCAAAGATCTGACAATTTCAAGGCAGCAACATTTCGGGGAATTCATTCAGAACTTTAGAAGTCTCTCCCGAATCAAGACCACATAGAAAGTGTTATCTAACAAAACAAAATTTTTAAAAAGAAGCAGTGCTCTGTTTTTATCTGTTTCTCTTTCAGAGTTTTTTACGTTTTTCTCTCCCAATAAATTGCAACAATACATGTACTGTAAAGAAAATTCTTAGAATTGCAGTAATGTCTCCTTTTAAATAAAAGGATGTTCCGAGTCACTTATTCAAGGTCTTCGTAAAGGTCAACAGAGTCAGATGTAAATGACATTCCTTGTACTATACACAACACTTTCATTATGCAGCCCTCCCTTGTCTGCGTTGGGAATCCATTTTCCATTGAATAAAATGTCACAATTTGTTAGAAAAAAGGCCAGAATCTATTTTTGATACTCCAAGGGCAAAATGAAGGCACCCTAATTAGACTGTTGCCCTTTAGAACAGGATCTCTTATTTCATTCTCAACGATTAGCATCTGCCACAAAGGAAAATGGGCTCAAAGTAAACAGTCTTTACCTACTTTTGGATCAAGCATCTCTACAGCATTCACAAGACTGTTCAACAATAAATTGTGTGTTGATGCATAAGCAAGCAGGTTAACTTCATAAACTGATCAAGATCCTTCCCAGTAAGAAAAGCTTGCGCCCCACTTCCTAATTTTGACTAAAAGCACTATACGGCTAGGTAGAAACACAGGTTTTGCATTTCTCAATTCTTCCTTCCAATTTCTGTGTTATATGTCTCAACATGTGCGTATCCTCTCCCCTACATTTCTCAACCTTGCGCCTCAGCTCTGTACTCACTTTCTCCTATTTCCACACTGAGTTCAAGAAAGTGATTTAACGGCCACTGATCAGAAAGTCCACTCACCAAACAATTGTCGGATCCCTCGCTTCTTTAAAGGCATGTTAGATCCAGGAGCTCTCAACCTGCCACACAGCAACTTCCTTAAAGCACGCTCCCATTATGGAAAGGCGTTGGTTTTTTTTAAACAGAACTGGTGCACATCGCAAAGCAGTGTCGTCAAGGTCCTTGCACTCTGACACGTGGCTTTTGTACACCCATCAACCTTCCCACACCCCTGCTTAGTCACTGTTTTTAAGCCAAGAAAATCACAGCTTCTTGAGCCTTAAGTGGAGAAGTTACCGTAAATATCCACAAACAATTTAATCATCCTTCCCTGGATGCCCCCCAGGAGTCTTTTTCAAGATTACAGGACTTCTAAATCTGCACCTTGTTATGTTTTTAAGGCAGTTTTCCCTCTTGGGCATCCTCTGTTTCACTTCCTGCCAGCATTCCTAGCTCCAAGTTCATCCATATGTTCTGAGCATCCCTTTTGGCGATCTCTTCCTTCATTCTCCGGCTGGGTCTTCCTAAAACCTCTACCCTCCATAGCGGCTCCCCCAATTTCCGTCCCCTCTGCCACAGATTCTCTGAAGGCCTTGTACCCCTCCTATTCACACACCAACCCTGACCTATCCACGCTTCCCACTAATGGCTGCAGATTGCTGAAAGTCTGAGCCTGCCAGGCAACGTTATCTTTTATATTGGTTCTCTCCCAAAACATTTATCCACTGTATGAGTGTATATCTATCTATCTATCTATCTATCTATCTATCTATCTATCTATCTATCTATCTATCTACCTACCTACCTACCTACCTACCTACCTACCTACCTACCTACCTATCAACATGCTTGCTTTTTTCGTTTTTTAATCATCAAAGCTTCCACAAAACATATGTCATCCTGCAGTCCGATCCAGCTTTGGGAAGCTGCTGGGCGTGACACAGCTGGCTCGGCACACACTTTCTTGGCTGGGCGCAACCCTCGCCCCCAGGGGAACAGCTGGCCTTTGCCCAGAGGGTCTTTGCAAGGACCCTCCCAAGAGAAACCCCCCTCCCCATGGGTATTCAGAGAGACTTTGTACAGAGCTCTATAGGAAGGAAGCAGCTCATTTGCAGCTGCAGCAGCATCAGATGGGCAGCTGGGAAAGGCCCGGGGGGGGGGCAGGGATGCTCCTCCAGCCGGGCATCCACCCTCACCTGAGAGCCCCTCCCGGGGCTGGTTTGGGGGGTGGGGGGCATCGCCACACATTGAAACCGACCACAACCCTTCCCCCCAACAGGACCCCCCCCATGAGGCATCAGGGCCAAACCCCCCCCTGGGACACAGGCTCTCCAGGGACCGAAGGGGGAGGGGCTGCTTTCTCAGCCGAGGGGGGGAAGCGGGGCACAGGGAGGCCCTTGGGGGAGGGGTGCAAGGGGGTCACTGGGGAGGGGGCACAGGGTGGGCTCTGAGTCGCCTGCAGAGCCCCCCTCCCCGCGTAGAAGGGTCCCTTCAGCCCCGGCCAACCGACCCTGGGGGCCTCAGAGCGGGCCGAGGGGCCGGGAAGCCCCCCCCCATCCGAGGCCCATCCCCCCACTTGGCCTGAGGGCGCCTCAGCCGAGCTCTAGCAGGCCAGGATCCTCCCCTGCGCCCGGCTTACCGAGGCTCTGCCCCACCGGGGTGGCGAAGGGGTTTCCCAGCAGAAACTCCATCTTGGGATGACAACAAACGCGACCGGCCTCCCGGCCCGATCCGCCTCGCTTCGCCTCTCTCCGCGACCTCGTCCCGCCTCCCCGGCCTGAGCGACGGCGGAGGCGTCCAAGCGCGGCGGCACTGGCGCCGTAGGACGGCCCCAACTCCCTTTCTATTGGACGGGGTTCCCGAGGGGCGTTTGGTCATTGGAGGGGCGGGACGCCCATCACTGTCAGGCCAGGGGATTCGACTTGAAAGCGGGCAGCGTCTGAGAGAAGACGACAAGGCGGGGAGCGAGAGGACCCCGCCTTCCCCGCTTCGCGATTGGAGAACGCTGCAGCAGAAGCCCGGAGACTATTGGGTAGCATTCGCAGGTGATTCACAAGCCGTGTGGCTTTCACAACCAATCCCGAGAGGGGACGGCTGTTTATGTGGCTTTTCATTGGTGCGCCAGCTCTGATAGACGTCCGGCAAAGCGAACGCGAATCGAACTCACCTGTTAGCAGCTCAGACGCGAGAAGAAAGGCGGCGAGCTCCATCAGAGGTCATGTGACCTTCCCTAGCAACGGACGCGGCTTCCTCAGCAACGAGGCCTGAGGGTCCCCGGAGCTGCCGTGCGCCGATCTGAGCGCGGGGCAAGCCGTCCACGCAGGGGGAGGCTGTCCCGCAAGGAACCAGGCCCCGTGCCAGGTAGACCTTGAGCCACCTAGAGAAGACTGGCAACCAGGGCAGTTGCAGAAGAGATACGTCCCTGACTTACGACCACAATTGAGCCCCAAATTTCCGTTGGTAAGCGAGACAGTTGTTAAATGAGCTTTGCCCCATTTTACAACTTTCCTTGCTACAGCTGTTAAGTGAATCACTGCAGGCGTTAACTTAGTATCCTGGTTGTTAAAAGAATCTGGCTTCCCCCAGTGACCCTGGGGATGCTGCAATGGTCGTGTGAAAAACGGTCCTAAGTCGCTTTTTTTCCAGTCGGCGTTGTAACTTCGAGTGGTCACTAAACGAGGACTGTTGCAAGTCAAGGACTACCTGTATGTTGCATGGGCACACCGAGGGGCCCCTGAGACCTGGCAAGACCTGCTGGGTCGCTGGGAGCCAGGAACTCTCGGCTCTGGGGGTCACTTTTCCTTGCCTTTCAGGGCCAGTGACAGAACCCGGTTAGCCTCGGCCCGGCTGCCTCCCGAACATGAGTCGCTTCTACGACAGCATTGAGCCCAACGTGATCAATGAGGAGATGCTGCAGAAAGCGGTGGAGGAGCAGGGCCCTCAGGACGACGCCGGCCAGCTGGCCAAGAAGGAAGGCATCAATTTCAAGGAGGTCAAAGCCCTGCAACTGGATTTTAGAAGTAAGGGCCAGAGCCCCAAGGAGACCCTCTTTTTTAAATAAAAAAGGCCCTGCCTGCTTTCCACTATGAAGCTTTGATGGTTTACAAGTTGCCACAGGAACATCTAGTGGCTCACCTTGCATATTTAAGGAGGTTTCTGAAAAGGATTGGAATAATTGGGCATAACTCGGGGAGTTATTTTGCTAACTCCACCTTAAGCTACAGTTTGGTTGGTATTGGAAGGCCTGAAAGACCAGGTTGGGCACGAGAGAAAGCCTACCCATGTGATAGTGAAGAGTTGACACTGACTGGACGGTCCATAATTAGTCTGTTGATAACACCTTTCCCACTTCTCTTTCTACTCCATCCTTCTGTAATCTGTTGGCCTCCAGATGTGTTGGGATGCTCTCTGAGGTTGTTTGTTCTGCAGATGTGTTGGGATGCTCTCCGTGCTTCGTTGTTTTGCAGGTGTCAGATCATAAGTTATTTCCTGGGTAAGAATCTGCCCAGTTCTTTGTGAATGTTGTGCAGTGCGGACCTGCTGTAATCATATGGCAAGATTGGGTCTTTTAGACAATTAGAAGTCTGAGAGTTTGACGTTCAGGACTGTGATTTGTCTTGGTTAGTATCTACCCTGATACTGCTAGTGTATTGACTATATTTGAGCCAACTTGAACCAAGTAGTTCTTTTCTTTCTCATGTGGTCTCAGATATCCTGAAGATCGACAATCTTTGGGAGTTCATCAACCTCACAAAATTGCAGCTCGACAACAATATTATTGAAAAGATAGAAGCACTGGACTCTCTGGTTAATCTGGTTTGGCTAGGTAAGGTAAGGAGAACCACATCAGATAAATCTCTGCAAGTGCAATCCTGCATATATATCTTTCATAGCTGATGTTTCTACATGTCAATAAGGCCATCTGAAATTATGTCAAATGTCAGCGCAAACAGAATCTTTGCTACTTGGCTGCTTGCCCTGCCCTGCCCTGCCCTGCCGGGTCCATCTTGACCTGAATAGATAATATGCTTTATTTCTCTATGACTTATGGTTTTTGCTTTTTCCTGTTATGTAGAATTGAGATTAGTGCAGTACTCCCTTATTTTATCTTTCTGATCAGATGATATCCACATTGGGGGGGGGGGACATCTGATGTGAGAAGGGCTGATAACAGTGATTTCATTTGCTTATTTACTGGATCTATACCCAGCCCCATTCAACAGATTCTCGGCAGCTTTTGCTGTTCTCTCAGGAGCTGTTAAGTCCTCTTAACATCAGTCCGTACAAATGGCTGTGTGGGTTTGCAGGTCTTATCTGGGAGAAGTTTGATGGCTTCTTTGTGGGACTCACACTTTCCAAACTTGTTCCCACAGACTTGTCCTTCAACAATATTGAATTCATCGAAGGCTTAGACGCGTTGGTTAAGTTGCAGGACCTTAGTTTGTACAATAACAGGATCTCCAGGATTGAGAATCTGGATACGCTACAAGAACTCCAAGTCTTTTCTATAGGAAATAATAATATCAACAACCTGGAAAACGTAAGGTTTTGAAGCATGTGTGAATCTTTGGCACCCATTTCTTGGGCATTTAGTCGGTTTTGAATTCAGAATACATATTTTAGTTCATGCTGCTCCTCTTCTGATTTCCCCTTTATGGTAAGGTGATATACGGGGACAATGACACATCCGTGGCTAGATAATGAATCACCGGCAAAGGAAGCTACCATAGATGACCTTAATAATTAGGATTTATTTAATGCTAAATAAATACGAAGGGTGGAAAGCACTTTACAGCATGTGTCTGGATTGACCCACTTGAGAAATATAACAATATATTGTGGACCTCAATATTTAAAAAAAAATTGTTGAACTTGTATTGGAAATATTAAAATCTGAGAATAAAATTCCTCCAGGCCCAAGCACTAGACAGTATTAAATATTCTTAACAGAAGCTTCCTGAAGCAAAAATCCATACTTCTCTTCTTCTTTTGTCTTTTGTGAATATTACGGTATTTCTATTGATCAGATACAGGCTTCTTGATTACCTGGGCCTTTTTGTCCATCTACCGCAGGTGATCTATCTCAGGAAATTCAAAAACCTGCGCACACTCAACCTCACTGGGAACCCAGTGTGTGACAATGAAGTGTACGCCATGTTCATTGCGGCTTACCTGCCCAATCTCGTGTACCTGGATTTCAGGCTGGTGGAGGAAAACATGGTAAGAATCTCAAGAGGCATTATAAACCGATGCGATGGCAAGGACCCACCGCCACCCCACTCCCTCGGGGAGATTTTGCTTGCGTGACCTCAGAACTCAGCTGAGCGTCCTTCCCGTCTCTCCTTCCTGCCAGCGAGAGATGGCCGTGCTGAAGTACCAGTATGCCATAGAGGAGATGAGGCACGGGGAAACGCTGGCCTTGGCCAAGCAGAAGGAGTGGGAGGCCAGGCAAAAGGAAGTGGAATACCACAAGGTATGTTGCCCTCTCAGCGGCTGTGGGTCACGGGGACTCTGGGGAGAAGCTGCCGGATGCCTTCCGCCTCCCCACGTTTTAATGGGACCTTTAAAATCACTGAGTCAGAAACGGAGTCAGCAACAGGCGTCTGTTTCGATGTTTGAAAGGAAAAATCATCCATGGGCCATTTGCTTCGCCCTGGAACGCAGTTCCCTATGCTGAAGTATAAAACCTGAAAAGTCTCCGGGGGGAATGCCACAGCTGGATTCACACGCCAAGCTGGGTGATCCTGGTTAAGTCCCAGATCCTAATTTACAAATCAACACATCCTGCTGTGCTAAAATCAAATCCCCCAAAGCATACTTTAGTGTAAGGTGTGAGTTTACTGCAAGGTGTAAACTTCCCATGCGATTTGCATGTGGTCATTGGTGTGTTGTCTGCTTTTTTTCATAGTTGTTTTGCCCGAGGACTCAACACAGAGACAGCCTTGCAGCCTTGAACTAACTTTTGTTGTTTCTCTCCCAAGTCTGCCTACGTGGAGTATCTGGATGGACCGTATCTCTTCGACAGCATGTATGCAGAAGATCCTGAAGCTTCTAAGCTGATGTACCTTCCTGGCGTTCCAGCGCTGTTAGAGAGATATCCTTCCTGTTTTCGTACAGAGTGAGGGTTGCGTCTTGAAAATATGATTTGAGGGAGTCCTCTGGTGTCATGAGGACTAGTGTCACACTTTAAACAAACAAAAAGCAAACCCAGCTATGTTGAGGGGAAGGAATTTCAAAATCTGTGTTAAAGTAGCACCATCCAGGGCAACTAAACCAGTTCACTGTCTCCTGTTCCATGCTCCAGACCAGATCCTCAGTTGGGATCTGCAGAAAGTGAATAATGTCAGGAGGGTTCCAGGCTGACTTATATTTTCTATGTATTTCAAATCCAAGAAGCTCCCCCAAAATCTGCTTTTGCATGGTTCTATGACCCCCCCCCCCCAACTTTTCCCAGGGAATTCCAGAAGCCTAGCATGGGAAATTGCTCCGGTGTTTATGACCATTCCCAGAGAACCGATTCAGATTCACGCCTTCGAGGCAGGAGCTCCGGTTCCCACTTCAACCCCGGCAGGAAATCAGCCTTAGACATGCCATGAAGCAACCTTTTTCTTTTTTTTAAATTTAATTTTTGCTTCTTTGATTCCAACCACACCTACAAGAGTAAATTTGTAGAGATTTGCCAAACGCTCTTTGAATACGGCCTGCAGCAGCACAAAAGGCGAGAGGAAGAGATTGCAATTTTCTACGAGTGCCTCAATGAAGCCCTGAAAGACAATCAAGATCAGGGCACCGGAATCATTCACGACTTTGAGAAGAAGCACCACGGGGTAAGGTAGCTTCCTCGCCAGAATCTCTTTTCTTCCTGTTAACGGAGGAATAGGGACATAAGAAAAATATTTTCCACAAGTAGACGGTCGATGAAATTCAGAACCTCAGTGACTCCCGTATGGCCGAGTTAAAGCTGATAGAGTACAACGATGAAATCACCAAGCTATATGAAACGTTGATGTCTCTGGAGATGCAGCTGGTTGACCAACTGGAGGTAAGGCAATGTACATTTTGGGGGGAAGACGTCCCTTGAAGACTGTTGGGATCTACTAAACATGATTGGCAGATTGGGATCTACAGTACGGAAAACTAGTCAGTTTCCATTCCAACCCTGCTGAGCAAGACTGCTAAGCATTTCTTATATTCTTAAGCATAACAGCAAATGATCAGCATTTCTAGACTCATGGCCTTATATCAATAGCACTTAGACTTATATATCGCTTCACAGTGCTTTACAGCCCTCTCTAAGCAGTTTACAGGGTCAGCCCATCACCCCCAACCATCTGGGTCCTCATTTTACCGACCTCGGAAGGAAAGAAGGCTAACACAACCTTGAGCCAGTCAGGATCGAACTGCTGGCAGTCAGCAGAATTAGCCTGCAATACTGCATTCTAACCACTGCACCACCACTGCTCTTATGCCATACCTATCACTCCCCACTTTTCACATCTAGCTACGCCAGCAAACCAGGAGAAATGTAACTTGTGAGCCAATTGGAATGTGAAAAGTCTTGGAGTTCCTTTGGTTCAAATTCCTCCCACCTGTCTTTTTTTCTCCCCCAAGGAAGTTATAAAAGATTTCGAAAGGAACATCGCCGATCTTGTCTCGAATTTTATAGAGAACGAGCAAGGATTATATCCTTTTGAGTGCTGCTGAGTGAGCAGGTGTCGTAATTGAGGGAAAAAATGCTTCAAGCTGCGAGCAAGCTGGTTTATGTATTGTATGTCACCCAGAGATGCACAGGCCTGCCTTGATTTGTTTCGGAAGTGCTTCTCGTGACCATAAAACAAAGCTTTTTTTTCGATTCTCTGAAGTGAGCAAGGCTGCCCTGTTTTCTCTTTCTTAACCTTCCGATGCACGATGGCACAATGCCGGGATCTTGAAAACCACCATCACGAGAAGCTCTTAGAAACAGCCATCAACACGCTGGAGAAGATAGTGAAGAGCGAGTACGATGAGGAAATGCCGGATGACGTCCGCATGGTAAGCTTCTCCTACCCCTCCCATAACTCCCCTGGGAGCAAAAGAGGCGGAATGCTCTTGTTCTGGATCAGCCATTAGACACCACACACACACCCATCAGTGGCTCCTCAGGACCTTTTCTCCATGGCTTTGCTTCCAGCTCTTTGTCGACAAAGACACCATTGTCAATGCAGTCAACGCCTCCCATGATATTCACCTGCTGAAGATTGACAACCGAGAAGATGAAATCATCACCAAAGCTAACAATCGGGTTTATAATCTGATTGAAAAGGTAAATGCAAATCCCTTGCATTAGCTTTTCCTCAAAAGACAAAGCCATTCCTGAGAAAGGGAGGACTCCTAGAATGCTTAATGACCCTCAACGGAGCTGGCCATGAAAGAAAAAAACTAGCAGAAATGTTCTCCTAGCTAACCTTAAGAAACCAAAAGAGGCATCATAAATAAGAATTGAAGCTTCTTCAGGTTTCCCATCTTCGTTTTTCAATCCCTGAAGGTTCACAAGGATGAAATTCACCGAAACCGAAACCGTGTGCTAGAACTCAATCACTATATTGATCATGTCCGTAGTGAGCTGGATAACTTGGACATCCTGGAGCAGTAGCTGCTTTCAGTCCTGAAGTGTGCAAACTCCATTTCTGGATTTAGATTCTTCAACCAGCTGTGAACCTGCCTGGCCGTCTCCTGGTTGAATCTAATCCATTGAATACAAAGAATGTATCCCATTGTATAAATGGATATATTTTCTTTTAAAAAGAACAAAATGTATTAGATTATTTTTGTCTGTCTTCAAAGCATACTTCCAAACAAAGTACTCACTTGTAGTCACCGGTTTTTATTTTCTAATAAAGTTTATAGAACTAATTTGGAGTCAAGAGACGGTTCTTTAAAATAAAGGTGGCAGTGGATCCTGCCATGTTGGTTTGCAATATGATCCCTTTTAAATTTAATTGGGGGGAGGGGGGAGAGTAGGATCTTTATGGTCACCAAAGGGGATATTGGTGGCATGTTGGATCTCCTAGCTAGAGTGTCTTCAATCTTAATAGAGGTGCTCAACTGCTGTAATATATTCTCACCTCTAACCGCCTCTAGCTACATGTCCTCCAGGACACAGCATGTGGCCTTCTATCCATTTTGGCAGGCTCATAGAGCAGTCCAACACTCTGCTCTTGAAATCTGTCTACCTGCTAGTCAAAATGCAGCACCTGGGAAACACCTCATCAGGCCGGCCCAGGTGAGATGGATGGGAAGCCTTCCCAAAAACTTCCAGGGAGAATCAGCCTCCAAGAGAATGGGAGAGGAGAGTCCCATCTCAAACTCTGTGGCCCAGCCACGCTCCCAGCTCCTCTCCATCACCCATTCCACCTGAATCTTCTTCAGGTTCATCCAGACTGCCGCGCCCCTTTCTTTGGTATCCCAGTTCCTCAGTGCTGAAGCAGCTTGTGTTTGACGGTGGAGTTTTCTAAGCAAAGGTGGACAAAAAGGGTGGCAGCAGCTGTGCGGGCCAGCAAGTCATACCTGTCGTAGTCATGGGCCCACTCCACGTTCCCCCAGTGCTGAATCTAGAGCAACAGAGAGAAAAACAAATAAAACTGCAGCTCTTGCTTTCCACTGCAGGACTCGGGGCTAACCATACGTAACCATAAGTAAATTGTTCCTCTTCGTGGAAAAATCAACCAAACGCTTCGAACTTCCCCAGAGGCAGGTTCAAGATGTTTGGCTGATTCTTCCAGGAAGAGGAACAGTTTACTTATATCCTGAGGGATATTCCTTAACTAAAGCCCTGTTCAGTTTGGAAGTTCCTGACCTCCATTTAGATCCAATAATGGCTCTGTTTACTGATCACAGCAGTATCCTCAGCTATGATACCATGAATAACCCCAGATTCACACAGGAGACAAAGCCATAAGACACAGCTTAGAAAACAAAAGGTTTCCACTACAGATGAGCCAAAACGAAACAGCCACAATACTGCTGAGCACGTTGTCTTAATCCACATGTAGGAATGTATAAAACCTGTTACATTGTAAGGTTTACCTGATATTCCTCTTCCAGCCGAGATAGAAGGACAGCTTGTTCAACCGTTAAATGTTTGTCAACTAGGCTCATTGAAAGAATCAGAGACTTCAGCTGTGTTATCATGTATTCTATGCCTGGTGAGCAAAATACTGTAAGATTTAATAACAAACTAGTTTAATGTGTTCATAAAAGAAGGAGAACAATTGTCACTTTCTCTTATAAAGTATATTCTTCTATGCTTCGAGGTTAGAACAGTTGGCTAAAAAATTCAATTTAAAAAGCGAAAGGTCCATTAATGGCCCCTTCTCAATCAGCACCACCACCACGTAGAAAGGAATGAAGAAGGTTTTAATCCAATACAGTCTGAAATCCACCAGATCCCAGGATGTTATGCAACGTACCTTGAAGGGCCCAACTGTTATATGAAGCGAGGTGGCTAATGAAGGTGTCCTTTGTGCTTTGTGGAAGGGTAGAAGCCATTATGCTTGTTGAAGAGCCAATCACAACATCGTATCTGGAGATGGAATGGAGTTTCGATACATCAGTCTCCGAGCACGGAGGAAACAAAGTCAGAATCCAATTACTCTGGCACTGACTCACTGCTTAGACTTACCTTTTCTCAGCCCACTCAATTACTGGGTCCCATTCATTCTTCTGCAGTTCTACCAAGGCTGGTGGCTCCTCCACCCGGTAGCTAAAAATCCAGGAAACAACATCCCTGTGAGATGACTGGCCCAATTACCCGTAGCTCTTCTTGGATGACCTAAACCTTACACCACAAGGAAGTCTTCAAATTTCCAACCTTAAATATAACCTAGAAGCCAAAATGAATGCCTACCAGATAGTATCTGTCTCCAAAAACTTCAGAGCTGCCTGGATGAGCTGATCTTTGCTTCGCTGCAATGGGTTGTCCAAAGCTGTGTTGCACAAGTTGGTCTAAAAAACAAAGCAGTTTTAGCAATCCAGACCTCGAACTCTAAGCTATTAGAATCTACATGTCTGAACAAAAAGCACCAAATTTCTTGTGCAAATGTTCCCTCTGTCACTGGCTGTGCCAATTTGCATCTTACACATGATTTTAATACAGACCCAGAATTTTCATCAAATTTGGTCTACCAACTTTTCATAATTTACATATTTGTCTTTGCCAAAAGTATAAACAGTTTTGTTGTAAATAGAAAAAAAATCACACAAAATTGGGCTAAAGGATTGAGCTTTCTTTGGGGGGGGGGTCTAATGTGCCAAATTCTTTGTTTTTACTGTTGTTTTTTAACATGGTGACTGTAGAAAGCAGTTCATTATTACCTAAATAATTTACCAAATCAGCTTTTGTAAATACAGCCCGCTTTTTCCTAATGTAACTGTAGTTTCAGTAACCTTGGTTCTATTTTATTCAAAGAGACCCAACTGACTGTGGTTCCAAATCTCCATTTGCTCGGCTGGCCCCTTCCTTTCACGCACCAGGTGCATAGCATAGAACTTGATAGTGTCCTGCTGGGCGTCCCACTCGGTTGCCACAGCCAAAGCCAGAGGTTCGCTGGGCACCGTGAAGAGCTTAGCTTGGGGAGTTTTCAGCTTCCGGCTGTCCAAGTTGATTTCAAAGCCACCTGAAGAGAAAGAAGAGACTGTGGCACTAAATATTGCCGTGCTGTAACTTGCTTTTATTTTGCTGTACTTCAGCTTCAAGAGGTAAACATTTGTCCTATTCCTGCCCCCTCAGTAAAGGGGCAAGGATGAGGATGGCAAGCTTTGCCATTAAAACTCGTAAAACTGCCTTTAAAAACATAAGAAGACCTTCCAAGATTGGTTGCAAAGAGCATTCTGGAGGCTGAGAAGCCCACATCAGATATAAATACTTAGGCTTTGACAATGACAGTGACATATTAACAAAGGTTTTCATAACTATGAGAACTACCTAAAACTTTGGTGGTTTTGTTCATTTATAACAGTGCAATATCCTGCACTGAACATGGATTTCCAGCTCACCACACAGATGCAAGTGGGATTTTAGAAAATATAAAGCAAGATATCGATTCATTTTCCTGTTTGGCCACAAAGCTCCTTCTTTTCCTCTAGTGCATCTTTCAATAGCATAAATGGGTCCAAATAAACAAATATAGCTTAATGTAAAATTGTCCTCACTTTCTCCTTGGGAGATGCTAACATTTTGGTAAAATCTTTTTCTTTCTGCAAGACAAAAATACACAAATAGTTAATCTACATACCTAATTGACACCATCCAAATAAATTGAAGCATAATTAGGCACCATTCAAATAAAAATGTCTAAATCAAATTGCATTCATTAATTTATTTTTTAAAAGACAATTAAATTTCCATGTTTTCACCTGGGTGTAAAAGACTCTGCATCAAACGGTACCGTATTTTACCGTAAAAGTCAGATTGCCCAAATAAAGGACAAAAGCGAGCTTTTTAAAAATATGAGTAAATCTAAAGCCAGCTTTCCGGAATAAAGGGTATAAAGTCACAGGGCGTACAATCCCCGCCTCACCTGCCTGGGCCGCGTAAGGCCGCCTGAAGGGCGCGGGGGAAGCTTCCGGACGGGGCGCGGGGCGAGCCGGCGCCAGGGGCCGCTTGCCAAGCAGCCGCCCGAGGCTCCCTCGCCACATGCCGGGCAGCGGCCCTTCGGAAGCTCCACGCCGGCCGCCCAGAGACCCCGAGACCCTCCCGGGAAGACGGCGACTCCAACGGCGGCTTCTCTCAATCGGCTCTCCTCCTCCCCAGAGGTAACCGTCCCGCCCCTCCGGGCGCCGCCATCTTGCCGGGGTCAGAGGTGGCCGCGCGGCCAATCGGCGTCACAAACGCGATTTGTCCCCTCCGCCGCGCCGTGTCCCCAGCGGAAGCGGCGCCCCCTCCCGCCGCGCACGTGACCCGCGCCGGCCAATCGGACGCGGCGTGGCCCGGCGGGCAGCCAATCGGCGGCGGCGAGGGGAGCGGGCCGGAGCCGAGGCGCAGCGAACGGCGTCCGGGCTGCGGGCGGGCAGGGAGGCGGGCAGGGAGGCCGGNGGCCCGCCGGCCCGCGTCGCGCTGGCGCCGGGCGACCCGGCCGAGATGCCGGTACGGAGCTCCTGCCGCTGCCCGCCGGAGCCGGCCCCGGGAGCCGCCGCCCGCCTGGAGCCGCCGCCGCCCATCAACACGGCGCAGCCCGGCGTCAGCACCAGCCGCCTCTACAGCGGCGCCAAGTTCCGCGGGCAGCAGCGCTCCAAGGGCAACGCCTACGAGGTGGAGGTGGTGGTGCAGGTGAGCGGGAGCACCGGACCCATCCTCCACGGCGACCCCCCCACCCCGCGCCTGCGGCTTTCCCCTTGGCCCGAGGAGGATGCGCTCTGTAGTCCCGGGAGGAAGAGGAGGGGGTGGCGAAGAAAAGGGGTGTCTTCTCTCCCCCCACCCCCGCCCAGGGCATTCAGGCCGCGGATGGGTCCTTTTCCCTTTCGGGGAGGGGGGCGAAGGGGCTCCCTGGACGCGGACTCCCCCCTCAGAGGAAGGGGGGCGAGGGGGTTAGAAGGTCCCCTTCCAAGAAGAGCCCCTCGCCCGCTCCTCGCTCCTGGCATCTCCTCCCCCTCCGCCCCAATTTTGCTGGGATTTGCAAGAACCGTGGGCTGCAAAGACCCCCGGGGTTGGGGGCTGCAGGGCGGGAGCGAAGCCTGGAGGGAAGACCCAGGGACCCCCCCCCTTCAAAGGCATCCAGGTGTGCCCTGCAAGTCCTTCTGCCAAGCTGGCAGGTGCAGAAGGGGGGAGAGGGGAGGGGCTCCTGCTAGCTTAGATGGGGTGGCTCCCGGTTCCCTCCCTGGAAATCTGCTGCCTGATGGGGCCTTGGAGCAGCCCTTTGGAGCAGCCCAGGGATCCGAGGGGCTCCTGCCCTTCGAGCCTTCTCCCCAGGCATTGGGCTGGGGTGGAGGCTGAGCCATGGGGATGATTGCTCTGGCACCAGGAGAGGAGATAAATGATGCGGGGCTTTTGATCCTTGTCGTCTAGCCTGCAACTCTCCTTGCTGTGAGCTCCCTAGGACCTTTGCGTGAGAGAGGTGGTGGGGCTGTGTAAATCCTATCAATGAAATAAAAGAAAAGAAATAAGCATTGCCAGGCATCCCACTGAGAAAGAAAGAACAGAACCGGAGAAGGCTTGACTTTCAGGAGGCCGGTTGTTTCGTCCTTGCTTAACACTGAATTGAGCATTTGGGGCTCAGTAGGTGAGCTCACCTTTTGGGGAAGGAAGGTGTTTGACCGCCTCCGGAGCTTTAGATTTTTCAGAGCTTTAGATCTTTCTGCTGCTATCAGGGCTGGTATTTGGGAGATGTTGTAGCCTTCAGCGCACCTTTATGTCAGTAAAATAGGTTTGCTAGTAATTTCAGAGGTCTCTTTGGATGTGATGCCTTGGGAACCTATTTGCACGAGGGTCTTGGTCCCAGCTGTCAGACCCCAAAGGAGCCAACCATGGTCTTCTGGCTGCCCAATCTTGGAAATAAAATGTTAGCTCGCAGAGAACTCTGGTCAGTCCAGCAGAGTTTGTTCTTTTATACCCAGGCCACCCGTGGGCTGTGTCTCCAAAGACTCCTGTGTCCTTGGACAACTTCCATCCAACATCCAGGCAGTTTTTAGAACCAGACCTGCATTGTTTCCTCTGTAATCTGACTTACCCTCTATTAGTCATAAAGGTCAGGAGCCCCGAATAGCATCTGCTGGTCATTATTCTGCTTTTGCTTCCTGGGCTATATTTGACAACCTGGCAAAATTCTTTCCAGGTGACCCTATGAAAGAGACCTTTGAAATGAACGAGAGGGTTGAAGCCACATTTTCTTTTCCAAACTATTCTCGCGAGTTCTTTCTAAGCAGATAAAGCAGATGGGTAAATCTGGGGGCTTTGCTTTCAGGACCACCTTGATGCGTGGAAAGGTTGAGGCCTGTGACTGCTTGAGCCAAGGAGGCTAGAAAAGGCAAAGAGGAATCTGATGGGGCTTTTGTCTTTGACAGAAGGGGCTGGAAACTTGGAATGGGAATGAGGACGCTCAAGACGAAGAGAGTTGCAGGCTAGACGGAAGAACGTGGAATGCACACATGGGTGCCGGCTCTTTTCCTGAACTGTCTTGACGAAGGGTGTCGGTGGTCAAAATGTGGTTCAGGAATTGAGAGAACAAGGCTGTTTTCAGTGCTGCTGTAGCTTCTTGAAACATTGACTTTTTCAGAAGGATGAAAGTTCAGAGAATGTAGCAAAAGTGTGTTAACATTGTTTTTGGTCCCGTTTTAATTGAAGCTCAGGGCATCTTGCTTGTTTCTCAGTTGCAGAGGAAGATTCTCTTGGTGGTTTGATCTGTTTGTTCCAGCCTCAGGCCCTGATCTTTGGATGGTTTTCCTTTTGTTTTCCAGCATGTTGACATGGATAACTCCTATCTCTGCGGATATTTGAAGATTAAAGGCCTTACTGAGGTATGTGTCTGGAGCAGACTGTGTCATTCTGGAGGCGTTCTTCAATGCCCACGCGCATTTAGGAAAGTAGAGGGGGGAAATAATCCTGGATTTCTTCTGTATGTTCATCATGCCCCCACTTCACTCCTTTACTCGCAGGAGTATCCAACACTTACGACTTTCTTTGAAGGAGAAATAATCAGTAAAAAGCATCCGTTTTTAACCCGGAAATGGGACGCAGATGAAGACGTGGATCGTAAACATTGGGTGAGTCCCTTGCCTTTGATTTCACTAGCCTGGGCCCCCCTGCCTATGGGCAGGGACTGAGAGATACAAGAGCTATTTTACGCAGGAGGTGTTGTGGAAGTAGGATTCGTGGAGACTTCTCCCTGACTTGCTAGCTTTCCATGCAAGGTCACATTTTGGGGAAGAAGGAGCATTTCCTGGGTGTTTGCAGCACGGTGTCCCAACTCAGTGAGAACCTGGGATAATATTTGCTTTGGAATGTGTGTGCTCTTAAATCGGCCCAGGATTGTCAAGGGCATCAGTGATGTGTCTCCCCTTTTCTCCTAGGGGAAGTTCCCAGCATTCTACCAGTTCGCAAAAACATTTAACTCTGATGATTTTGATTATGAGGATCTGAAGAATGACGACTTTGTCTTCATGAGGTGGAAAGTAAGTTGTTTGAGCACAGCTCCACAGGGTGCCTTATGAGGGCTCTGGGTGGTAAGGGGCTAAACTTGGATTTAAATCCCTTCCCCTTAATCTAAGAAAAGTAAAGTTACTTTTATTTGCTCCCCCCAGCAATCTGTGCAGTAGTGTTTCTCTCAGCCTTAGCAACTTTTAAGATTTCAACTCCCAAAATTGGGAGTTTCTCAGGCTAGCTGGGGAATTCTGGGTCCACACATCTTAAAATTGCCAAAGTTGAGAAACACTGCTCCAAAGTGGGATTCGGTTCAGCATGTTTATTTCATGTATAATAGTACATGAAAGAATTTTAATTTCCTTAAAAGATCACCTTGTAGCTTTCCCTGTCTTTGTGTGTCTCATTTTTGTGCAGGAGCAATTCCTCGTCCCAGATCACACCATTAAAGACATCAGCGGGGCATCCTTCGCTGGGTTTTATTACATATGCTTTCAGAAGTCTGCAGCATGTATAGAGGGCTATTACTATCACAGGAGTTCAGAATGGTAAGACGGGGAATGAGGGGAAATTGAACCCTTCCTCGCCCAAGACCAGGTTGTAAGGAACACCATCCTGCCTGTTTGCTGTGCTTGGGTGACTAATGTATTGAGATACAAATGAATTTATTTTGTCCACCTGGCGGGTCCAGATCACATCCGGGTCAAGGCCAGTAGTTTGCTGCCGAGGGCCATCTGGACCCATAATCTGATAACAACAGCACTGACACTTATATACCACTTCACAGTGCTTTACTACCCTCTCTAAGCGGTTTACAGAGTCAGCATGTTGCCCCCTACAATCTGGGTCCTCATTTTACTGACCTCAGAAGGATGGAAGGCTGAGTCAACCTTGAGCCCCATCAGGATCAAACTCTTGGCGGTGGGCAGAGTTAGCCTGCAATACTGCATTCTGACCACTGCGCCACCAGGGCTCTCTGATGCTGCGAGACTGCAGTTCCCGGTCGTTACAGCCTTGGAAACCCGTTGCCGTGCTGCAGAATCAGCCAGGTTTGTTCTGCTCAGCCTGTTTTCCTTGCTTCCCCCAGGTATCAATCTCTGAATCTGACTCACGTCCCTGAGTACAGCGCGCCCATTTACGAATTCCGGTGACAGGGATGCCAAGAGCTTCACCAAGAGATGGCCAGTGAGGCCGGGGGGTGGGGAGAGAGGAGGAGGCGAGTGCGAGGGGGCATCTTCTATTCAGACAACGGGGATGTCTCAGTCAGGACAGAAGACACCAGGCTCCCCTCTTGCAGGCATCTGGACCGGCCTGAAAGCACGAAGGGGAATCCACGGGACTGCCGGAGCCTGATCCTTCTTCCAGCTGCGTGGCCAACCTGATTCCGTAGCCTGGCCTCAAGGCTACCGTTCAACGCCCTTTTCTTGAAAAGCTCGCCTCTCGGGATCGCTGACAATCCTTTCCCTCTGCTCCTTTTGTGGGGAGGAAATGTCCACGTCTCCCCAGATCTCCTTGGAATAGAAGAGAACATAAGTTGCTTCCTGCTTATGTTGCTTCCTCCTCGGCTCTGTGTAGGGGTTCCTCCAGAACGGGGGGGGAAGGGGCCTGTCTGGTCTAAGCACTACTTGAGGTTGGTGTGTCTGGCCCACAACTGCAGTGTTTGCTAAGGAAGCAGTTGGTCGAAGGAAGCCGGGCCTGGCTGGGGTGGGAGGAGTAATCTGCTCCTGCTGGTTTACAAGGCTAAACTTCCTTGCTAGCCAGTCCCAGCAGCGCCAGCTTAAAGCAACCTGCAGTGGCAGGAAAGCTACTTAACGCTGATGCAGAATTTGCAACATTAAATGGAAAATGTTTAAGGACTTCTTTAAAGTGAGGTGTTTTTATGGCCCACTTCCTCACCGCTGGCTCAAAGACTTGTGTGGTAACGTGCACAAATTTATTCTTCATGATATTTTACAATGGCTGCTTTTTTAATATATTTTTTTTCCTCCTCCTGGTGAAAATGAGTGCAAGCTCACATTGATTGATGGTGGTGAGCTCTCTTTCTGTAATTATCTCACAGTGTTGCCGCCAACTCCTCACGAAGGAAGCGCTGGGTGATGGTGTGCAAATTGCGCTTCTGACGTGCGCGCCGGGTTTACCCTGCAGAAAACGATTGATGTTCGCTCGGACTTTATCAAACCTTCCTCCCCCCCCCCCCCCGAATAAACTGGTCTCCCGAGGCTTTAAAATGTTCAGTGACTTAAGGCCTCTGCGCCAAACCTCATGCATGTTGTGATAGTATAAAAGTGGCTGTCCTGTTTCCTAGGGCCTTGAGAGGCTTCTGCGACTTGCTTCTCCGCATCGTTGATGGGGGTGGGTGGGACACGATGCAGCTTGTGAACCGGGCATGCTGTCCTCCTTGCTTGTTTGCTTGCTTCAAAACGCCTAGAATCCACCCCCCGCCCTCCTGTCTCTCCCGCAGGTGCCTTGGACTTTGCAGTGTCTGGCAATGGACAGGGACAGAACGTCCCCAGTGGCCAAAGATTACAGGTTGTGGTTGCGTTCTCTTTGAGGCTCGGCCTTCCTGTGTGGCAGGATCAGAAGCGCTCATAGTGGCGGTCATTGGGTGGAGGAAGAATTTCTCTTGTCTCCAGCACTGTGTGTGTGTGCCACAGTCTTGGGGAGGGGGAGGGAATAAAAACGACAGGTTGCGCTCTTGATGTATGGAATTTGCTTCCCAGTTTTAGCTGCCTTGAATGATGGGGTCAAAAAGTGTTGTCGCTTGCGAAACAGATTGCTGAAAAAAAGAACTTGAAAGTGATAGGTTGGGGCAGTGTCTTCTCTCTGGCTCTTTGTTCTTCCTGATAGCGAGCCAAGCTGGAATAAATGATGGAAAAGAAGATAAAACTCTATTTAGGCATGTGGGTTGCAGAACCCTACTTTTTTAAAATATATATATATAAATAAATCAGAATTTGGCTTGTTAAGACATAGACTACTTAAAAGAATAACCACCAGCCTACCCTATACCGTATACTTCGTCACAAGGTAGCTGTGCGTTTTAAGGTGGGCTCTTTGCTTCCCTTAGCCCCGTGGTGGCGAACCTATGGCACGGGTGCCAGAGGTGGCACTCAGCCCTCTCTGTGGGCACGCGCGCCCTCGTCCCAATCCTAGGCCTTCAGCTGGGTTTTATAAAACCTTTTTGCTTTAGGCCTCCGCCACCGTGTGCAAAAAAAAAAAAAAGGATCAATCAGTCAATTTCAATTTCTCGCAGGAAAAAAAAAGATCTTGCAAAGTTGGAATTGATTGATTGAACTTTTTAGTCCCACCCAGTCTGCTGTTATCACCGCAGCCATGCCCACCCAATGGGCCACGCCCACCCGGCACTCGACAATGCATAAGTGGATTTTGGGTTGCAGTTTGGGCACTCGGTCTCTGAAAGGTTCGCCGTCACTGCCTTAGCCACAGTGTAAAGCAGAGGTGTCCATCCTTGGCAAGTTTCAGACCTGTGGCTGGCTGGGGAATTCTGGAAGTCCCCCCCCCCTGGTCTTAAAGTTGCCAAGATTGGACACCCCCTGGTGAGCGCTGGGTGTGCGTTTGCAGAGCCTAATTGTTTAACTCGGTGGGAGTGCGTGGATGTCAGAGCATGCCAGCTTCAAACCAAGCTTTTCCATCAGTCGGGCAGAAAACCCATTTAGCCCTCATGCAATACATTCACACCCAGCCACAAAGATAAGAAGAGCATCCTACGAAATTCCCAAAGCCTCTTTCCTCTCTTAAAAATCACAGCTCCCTCCCTTCTGCTTCTCCCACTCCTGTTTCTGGGCAAATACAGCCTCTTGTGGAGAAGTAGTTGTGCCTGTAGGTGGATAGGCACCATACCTACCTGTCCCAGGTGCAAAGTGACAACTTTCCTATAACCTTTGGAGCAGGGGGGAAAAAATGGTTGAAGGGTCACAGCTTGCCAGGGGAAGCTGAGTTAAAAGTGTTTTCCAGAGCCGCTGCCGCCAATGAGGCTGAACAGTGAAACTTAAAAGAATTAAACGTTTATGGTAGAAGTGATCTTGAAAGGGCTGGCCAGGGAAAAATTGAGAATTTACAGTGTGTGTGTGTGTGTGTGTGTGTGATAAGTTGCCTCTATATTTCAGCACCTCCCCTGTAGCATGCAGGGTGAAAGTGAGGCTAGTCCTGTCCACACTTTGCAGGACAAACTCTTGGTTGCGCTCGCTTTTGCCATAGGACCCTGCGTTGGTGCACTAACATGCTTGCGCTTGAGATGAAATAGGTGGGAATTAAGTTGGTGTGCGGGAAGCAACTTTTCTTTTGAAAAATAGCCTTCTCTCCCCCCCCCCCCAAAGGCTTGTCTTTAATTCTCTCCATCGCCATTAAACTGAAGAGCTGTTGCCTCTGGGTTTGTTGAGAAAACCGGACACAGCTTGTCAAAGAGGACTTCAAGGATGGGATCTTCCAAAATGTATAGAAAGGATTTTATAAAGTTAATCAGAGTATTAAAGAGTATTTATAGATGAATTGCAGAAAAGAGACTGTGGGGTTTTTTTCTTCCAGAGTTATCAGTGTCCCAAATAAAAGAATGTGTATTTAAAAGGTATCCATGTGTGCTCTTTTCTTTATTTTATCCCTGTTTCACAGGTTGCCCAGCTGAATTAGGCTCACCATTCTTAAGCGATATTTTCCAAAAGGCTCAGAACCCATCTGGACCATTCTAATTGTTTTCCCTGGGCAGAGAAGATTATAGAACATCAGTATTTCCATCTTTGGCAGGGTGGATGCCACTCAGT